ATCGTCACGAGAGAGTCTAGAAGACAAACGTATGAGGAAATGGAGATGCTGGACGCCAAATTTAATCGTCATTATATCGAAGAAGCAGATAACACTATAGCAAATCGAAATTATTGGAATTTTAGCAAATCGAACTCAAACAAAACACTACCTATCATTGCAGAGGTAATCCAAGCTATTAAAAAGCTGAAAAATAATAAATTACCAGGAATAACTGATCAATTTTACAGTGAGCTTTATGAGAATAGTGGTAAGGTCCTACTGCATAAACTTTTACTTCTTATTTGGCAAAATGATGAGAGGTATAACCCTGTCAACAATTGCTATTTCGCCTAAAAATACCAGGCCAGATGCACTCCAGAAAAATCAACAGCTGAGGAGATTCGTTCAGTAACGGATCTTAGAGAAAACGTTGGAATTTAACATTGAAACCCATCACTTATTCATCGACTTCAAGGCCGCATATTAAAAGAACAGTAATATACCAATCATATACACTGAGCAGCAAAAAAAGTGGCCACCCTATAAATTTCCGAAAATAAAAATTAATTAAAAGTTTTATGCACTGTTTCACAATTAAACGAATTACAAACAATGAAAATTACAAGTAAACTTAAACAAAACTGTCTAATATTGAGTATTATGCCCTAAAATATCAATAACCGTTTGCATACTATTTTAAGAGAAAGGAAAAAATTTTGAATAAAAACTTAAGGAATACGTTCATATTCTTCACGAAGCATGTTTTGACATTCTGTAAGACTTTCTGGCTGGCTTGGTTGACTTATAACCCTACGATGAAGTTCATCCCAAAAATGTTCGATGATATTCAGATCGGGGCTACAGGCTGGCCGTTCGAGATTCCTAATTCCAACTTTCATCAAGTAATATGTCAGGATTTTTGCAGTATGCGTCCGGGCATTATCATGCATAAAAACAAAATTGTAAAAAATAAAAGAACCAAATGAAACTACTGCTTCTGCCAAAACATCCGCTATATACCAGTGAGCATTCAGGAGGCCATTGATGAAAATAAGTTCAGTTCGAGCTTTAAGTGAGATTACAGCCCAATTCATGACACTATTAACGCCAAACATTCTTCTCTAGGACATACAAGCCTGGACATATCTTTCATTTCTCTGTCTCCAAACCCCCTCTCGGCCATCGCTAGACTTCAAACAGAACCACAATATATCAGTAGAGAGAATTCAGCTCCAATCCTGTATATCTCAGAATTGATATTGTCGAGAAAAAATTAATTGATTCCTACAGTGTCTGGGTTGTAATTCGGGAACAAAAACCTACCTTCTTGCCACTAGCCCTCTTTCATTGAAGTGTCTTCTAACCGTACTCTTCCTTACATTCTCATTTTGAACCTCGTGCAGACGGTTTTTTCAGCAATTGCAGTGGAATGATGATTTCTTAAATCCATCGCAATAAAACTATCATCTCTTTGCGAGGTAACTCTTCTATGACCGGAACCATAAACGTCAAAACTGTCAAAAACAAGCATAGAAATTCGCAAAAAATATGTAATTTAAGATGCAATATAAAACAGTGCATAAAAATTTTTTTGTAGCTTAGTGTAGTATATACTAAAGGAACTTTTAATTAAGGAGAATGAAAATGTCTAACTTAAAAGCTAGTGTTCGGATACAGGGAGAGAATTCTCGATTCTTTGAGATAAAGGATGCACTCAGACAAGAAGATGCCCTGGCTTGCCTCCTATTTAATTTTGCTTTACAGTAGACCGACACAAATCTTAGCATAGACTGAAATATTTTCTAGAATTAAAAACGGCGTCGGAAGAGTCTAGTCATCGACGAAGAGAAAACCAAGTACCTGTTAGTTACTAAGAATCCTATAGCAAATGAGGGACGGGAAATAATTACAGTTTACAAAGGTCATTGAGACCATTCCATTTATTATCAAATTATTTTTTTATAAATCTTAATATCTTTGGAACATGTCTTTATTTATTGCAAACGGATAACATACTCAACTTCGAAAGAAAGTGACTATTTCAGCGAAACATAATCTATTAAAAATATTTTTCTCACATGTATGATGTACCAACTATCTTTACGTTTTTTTAAAAATTCAGATTTTACGAATAAACAATTTCTGACCTGTACAAATTTACCTGAAACAATTAAAAAATACGTTGGAATACAGTTTAAAATAGAATAAAAACGATTGTTTAGTTTTCGATCCTTTTCCAGTCGTTATTTTCCATTTTCCAAATTAAAACATTTATTTACTATAAAGTTAGATAAATAAAGTGAATTTACTTTATATCTTGTTGATAAGTAAACACAAACAATTTCCTTTAACTTTCCAATAAGTTCATAGTATTAGCAAATAATAAGATATTTTACAGATGCACGAATTTGTATGTTCAGCGAAGAGAATCAGCAGTCCCGTTTCCAATCAAACGAGCTAACAATTGTTCAGGGTACAATTAAGGTTACTGCAAATTCTCTTCGAATTCTAATGCAAATGTTGCTTTGATCAAATTAACGTTTATTAAAAATCAATATTAGAATGATTTATTAAGTTTCTTTGCCACGTCTACGGGTTCCTTAACACTAGAAACGGGTAATTTTAAAAGTAAAAGATACCAACAAGTAGTAATCGGAGAAAAACTAATAGTTATATATAGGGAGTTTCAAAAAAGGTAAAACCGTTTATGAGACGGGTAAAAAACTAAAAAACAATTGGGGTTTTCAAGGACGTTGAAGAAAAAAAATCTTTTTTCTTCAACGTCCAGCTTTCTTGTTTTGATGTGCTCTATGACTTCGCAATCCTTTTGTAGCCTTCTTAACACTTCTGCATTTCTAACTTATTGGCTCCATGGTATTGTTAAAATCCTACTATATCACCACATCTTAAATGATTCCAACTTCTTTATGTTATCCACTTTTAGTGTCCAGCTTTCCATTCCATACAACAATGTCGAGAAAACGTAGCATCTTAAGGTTCTTATCCTCAGATCCAGAGGAAGGTCTTGATTGACAAACATTGTTTTCATTTTTATAAATGCTTGTCTTGCAGTTTCAATGCATGTCCTTATTTCTCTACCTTGGTCATTGTTTTCATTTACCCATAAGAACACATTAACCATTTCAAATAAAGGTCAAAAACATTTTAAACTGTATTGAAATTTTTAACTTTCCCTCAACACATTCAGCAAACGTAAACACGCCACCTCCCTGGTTAATATTTGCCTAGTTTAAATTTAGAACTATCATCATATCATAAATCTGTAACTTATCCACAAATATTTATAAGCAATTATGATAGATTACTTTCTTCTATCCCTGAATATATCCAAGTTTACACAGATACATCTAAAACAACTTCTGGTGTAGGATTATCATTTGTTATATAATAAAAAGTTTCAAATTGCTCACAGAATTCACTGTGATAACTGGAGAAATGTATGCAATATACAGAGCTCTAAATCACATTCAAACAGTCAAATCAGATAAATTCCTTATTATTACTGACTCAATCAATTCCCTCCATGTACTGTCAAAAATGTACACCTGCAACCCGATTGCTAAATTAATTAAAAACAAGATGTAGCAGCTGGAAAACAAAACATTAGTCTTCGTGTGGGTACCATCACATATAGGCAAATAACATCACATAATAGCAAATTCCCCAAATAGCAGACGGATTATAAAACCATTAGCAAAAGATCTTAATCCGTATTTTAAACAAAAGCTGATATGTAATTGAACTAAATGTTGTGAAGAAACATCCTCAAAGTTAAGAGAAATTAAACCAAATTTTGGACGATGGAATAACAACGTCCCTAGCCGTTTCCTTCAGGTTCTATTAACCAGACTCTGATTAGGATACAAACTCACGCATATATATCTCATGAAGAAGAAATCTTAACCAAAATGTACGAGTTGTGACGTGCCATTAACAGTGAAACATGTATTAACGGAGTGTCCCAAAGATAGTACTGAAAGACTAACTAATAAAATACCATCAGTTATAACAGATATTATTAGTGAGTGTACCAGTAAATATGTTGTGAAATTTTTAAGATATTGTAACATATTGAACCACATTATAAGTATGTTATTTATTTGTTATTTGTAATCATTATTGTTTACATAAATCTATCCGCTAATTACCAATATGGTTGATACGACTGCCTTTAAATAAAAAAAAATTAAAGCTTCTGTGCAAATCCACGATGACAGATAATCAAACATATTGATAGAGTTGAGACGACAGCAATTGAAGACAGTGTTCTAAAGATTGTTCAGGATTGGTAAAAATCTAATACCAATTTTTTTTAAGTAAACATTTTTAAAAATTAAAACGAAAATAGTTTGTATGCATATGAAATAGGACTGTATAATATCAATATAATATCAATATCTAAAAATATCTTTAACCTTTTTCAGTATCTTATATTACATGCAGTACCTGAACGAAGGACAACAGAACAGTAATAGGTACATTTGATTAAAGGAATCATAAATTTCGTTTATAGTCAAAACACCAAGAAAATCTTTCATTTCAATGCCATCTAAATCAATAAAACTATTTTGGTATCACCTGGCACTAAAAAAATATTTTCAAATATAGTAGACACTTATCATCACTGTCAAAAGTTGATTTTATTAAAGTATATTAGAAAATATTAAAAATTTGGATAATACGCTTAAAGAAGCAACAATTTTATTATAAATGAGTATTTTAAATTATTATAATATATAATATTTTATTACATATAATTTTAAATATTAACGTAAATTAAAACTAAAAGAAATCATTATAAAATGATTCAAAATGATAAAATATTGTAGCAAATTTCAAAATTAGTGAATAATACAGAAAGATTCCTGATTCCGACTGTTTGGGAAATGAAAACGAAAATTATTTATCTCTAAATACGACCCAAAGTCCAATAAATCCCCCAAAGTCATGCATTAATGAAAACAAAAGGTAGGTAATCAACTAATTGTTCTACTTACTGTTGAGAGACGACAACGGGTTCCGCGAACGAACTGTATGTGTGGTGTGGTCGAAACAGACTGGAATGGAAAACAGATGAAAACCCTAAGCGCCACCTAGATTCGAGTGTTTTCCAGGATTTTATCGATTTCCTCAGTCCATTCATTTTCAGCCATGTAGACTCTACGACTACTACATCATGAACGGACCGTTTTTAGGGATACAGGAAGGGAATAGTCAGGCAAAGATGACGGAAATTGGATGAGATCATTTTGTTTTTGGAAAAGCTATAATCGAGAAATCGGTTCATCGCAAATAAATTGCACAAGGGTAATAAATATGTGGATAAAAACAATTCTTAATCTATGACACGACAATCCTTAAAATAGTTTTGTTAGCAGCATACAGAACCCTATGTGTTTATTCATAAAATATATTTATTTAGGGGGACGAAGAATTAAAAAATAATTGATAATTGATCTATCACGTTATGATAGATAAATTGAGTAAAATCTAAAATATCTAACAATATATTAAACATTTGTTAAAAATGTACAGCTGGTTTCCAAAAAACAGGGGGCTAAAAAGTGTGAAGAATATCGAACAATCAGTCTAATGAGCCACATGTTGAAACTGTTTCTCAGAGTCATTCATGGAAGAATTAATAAGAAGTGCGAGGAACAAATATCGGACAGACAGTTCGGCTTCATTAACGCAGTGGGTACCAGAGAGGCACTTTTCGGAGTACAGGTACTGATTCAAAGATGCAGGGACGTTAACTGCGACGTATACGCGTGCTTGATCGACTATGAAAAGGCATTTGACAGAGTTCAACATCAAAAGATGATAAACATTTTAAAAGAAGCAGACCTAGATGACAAAGACCTCAGAATAATTTTAGAACTCCACTAGAATCAGACTGCATACATGAAAATTAACGGAGAAGAAACAAATCACATAAAAATACTACGTGGAGTTAGACAGGGATGTATCCTATCGCCGTTAATATTTAATATGTATTTAGAGAAAATTTTTGTTGAGGCTCTTTACGGAATAGACGAAGACATCCTTCTAAATGGTGAAAGAGTAAACAATGTTAGATATGCCGACGACACCATGGGGATAGCAGATAGTATAGAGGGATTTCAGATGCTAATGGACAGAATAAATGAGTACAGTCAACAGTACGGACTAAACATTAATATCCACAAAACGAAACAAATGATAATCAGCAAGGAGAATATAAACGGGGCTCATCTATACATTAATGGGACGCAGATAGAGCGAGTAAAACTGTATTGCTACCTGGGAACTATTATAAACGAACAGTGGAGCAATGTACAGGAAATAAAGTGCCGCATAGAAAAGGCAAGAACGGTCTTTTACAAAATGAGCGCCATCTTCAAAAGTCACAACATATCCCTAGATACAAAAATGGGACATTTGAGATGCTATGTTTTCTCTGTGTTGTTGTACGGGGAGGAGGCATGGACGCTTACAGACACCACTATTAAAAAACTTGAAGCATTTGAGATGTGGATTTATAGAAGAATGCTGAGAATATCATGGACAGCAAGGATCACGAACAAGGAAGTTCTAGGAAAAATGAAGAAGGAACCAGAGATTGTGTTTACGATCAATCGCGTAAAATTGCAATATCTGGGACACGTTATGAGAAATCAGCACCGTTACTCCCTGCTGCAGTCTATATTGCAAGGTAAAGTCAAATGTAAGCGAGGACCCGATAGAATATCATGGCTGCGGACTTTAAGAACATGGTTTGAACAAGAAAACCTCAACGGAGCTGTTTCGAGCCGCAGCGAGCAAGGTTATGATTGCCAATATGATTTCCAACATCCGAAACGGATAGGAACCAGACGAAAAAGGTTTCTAAAAAAACTGATCAGACTCTAAAGCGTATTTTGTAGAAAATTGAGCAGTGTATTTTGAAGGATAAATACTTATTATCCCTTCTTTATACAGGTGATACTTTGATACACGTAAGAACGAGTTGGATCTGAGAAACCCAACAATTAAACTAAGAGTTTTTTATGTTTAATTTTGTACCAACATATTTGCGTTGCATATAGTACAACTACTACTAAAGATAATTTACATACACTAAAAGAAAATGAACTTCTAGCATAAAAATTTTATTTATACTTAAAGTAAAAATATAAAAGAAATTACGTACTATAATTTGGCCGATGTTTAAAAAACACCTTGTATATAAATTATTCAGTCATTTTACCAATGCACATGCGACAAACAGGTACTGTATGTTCCAAGAAAATAATTCCTTTACAATAGTGGCACATGTATTGAGTTTTACGATCTCTACAAAAAGCACAACGCCCCCTTTTATTTTGCAGTTCCGCAGGTGCTTGTACTGATCCAACATACTGAGTTTATCAGCAAGCTCTCTTATATCTCGTGCCAAATGAGGAGAGGCTCTTTCTTTTATATTGACCATTGCTAACTGAAGACCTAGTTCTTAAAAAAAATCTTATTCTTTTGCTTGCTTTTAGATCCAGTTTGTTAGTTCTCTCCATCACAAATGCATTTATTGCAGCAACATCAAGCAATACATAAAAGATGACCATGGGCCAAGGTTTTGTATTTCTTGCGACAATATAGGAACCTCGAAGTTGATCAACTGTGTCCCCACCACCTTTCGTAGAGTTATAGAACGTTATTACTTCGGGTTTACTTTCGTCACCCGTTGTTGCATCGATTTAGTTATCATTCTGTAGGGTTGACAAAAGAACATGTTTTTTTGGTTTTGGTACATAGGAAAATATCGTCATATTTAAATCCAAATTTGGTAAATCCAAACATAGTTTAGTTTGGCGGTCTATTGTTCAATAAAAATTCGGTTTCTGATATGCCTTTTGTTTTTGGTAGAGTGCCTACGGTGCCTACAATTGTTAGACTATGACTTGTCAGTAAGTTTTGTGTGAATTCAATTGATGTAAACCAATTGTTCATTGTGACATTTTGGTTGGATTTGGAGAGTGGTTTGCAAAGCCTGTCAAACACATCGTAGGCTGCAGAACTGATAGAATATAAACATTGTGGTTGTGTACCGGCATAGATTTCTAATTGATAAGTGTAGAAAGTGTGAGAATCCACCAAAGAATATACCTTCAGATCGTATCGGTCCGGTTTGTTTGTAAGGTATATTCTAAACCTACAGCGACCTCTAAAGCCTAAAACCATCTCATCGATAGTGACATATTGGCCAATGGTATAATATTTTTGAACATTTTCAACTAAGTCCTCGAATCTGACTCTAACTGCTGCAAGTTTGTCTACTTGATTCCGTTCGTCGCTTGTACGAATATCATCTAGGCGTAAACACTTCCTAAGAAATCTAAATGTGCGAAAAGCCATTTTTTCCGGAAATATGTTAATGCGCCTACCATTTTTTTCCAAAACTTAAAAATTAAGGCTCTACCTCCAGGGTAAACTCCAGCTAAGTGAAGCAGGACAATCAGAGCTTTTAGTTCACATATATTTGTTAGCCTTGCGTCGGAACTGTCTTTATATCTCACGGACACACGCTCGATATAAACATTACTACATTCAACAATATGTTTTATAATTTTGTCATTAAAAATAGTTTCCAGCATTCCAGTATTTCAGTTGTGCAACTTTTTGCGTCACGAATAACTCCAGGAAGTTTTGTGATGATATTTTCTCGTCTAGTTTCATTCCATCTTTGGTATTGTAATAAAGGGATTGGTTTGACCCACCTTGTGGAATCCACTTTTGAAAGTTTAGTTTGGTGTCTGATAAATCAAATTCAGACTTTGAGTTATGATTACCATCTTCATTTTCTACTAATTTTCCAACAATAAACTCATCGGAATCTGAATCTTCATGATTTCTTTCCTCGTCGGTTGCGACTTCCTCATAGAGACATTGCAAGCGTTTTACCTCTGCCTCGTAAGAATACATTGTTTTGTCAAGCTCTAAAAACAATGCACTCCTTTTTTGTTTTGTACTTTCATAAAAAAAATACTTACATTAAGGAAGGAGTTGGGTTTGAGAGAACGAAAACAGATATAACATCGACATTATCGCTTCAATACGCTATAGTAACTGAGAGATTATAGCTGGCCATGCCGTCGAAAGGTACCTAGATTGCTAGGACCGTACTTAGACTCGCTGACCGAATAGCGAAATTAGAAAAACTGAATGGGCCCGAGAGACCCAAACCGTGCACCGCAGGGTTAATGATGCTACAAATTTAGCATCAGCTAGTAGACACATTTAGCAAATGTCATAGTATTCTTTAAGACTTAAACTATCTAAGAAGTTAAATGCATATTGCGTTTTCATCAAAATTATTTTCAAAATAAACGTTTGAAAAAAGGGCATGTTTTTTACTTATAAACAATTGTAATAACTTCTATATTTTTCAAACTACAGACTTGTACGTACAACCATTGGATAGCTGTTAAAAAACTCACATTAAAAAAAACCTTCTATGACCAATAGGAACGAAGTTAGGGACTATTTTAAAAAAATCATATCTCCATTGTTTAAAATTATTAAGAAGTAAAATTTGCACACATTTTGAATGAAAATCTAAACTTTAAAATAAAGTTGAATGAACTGAGTCTCGCTAATATCCTCCTCTAGGCTTTCGTGTATTCTCTTATGTATTACATTCAGCAGTACTTTTAAAGTATGACTCATGAGGCTCAGTGTTCCATAATCAGAGCACTCTTTTGCTGTTTGTTTTTTAGAGATAGTTATAAATGCTGACTTCAGCCAGTCTTGTGGTATTATTCCTGTATCGTAAATCGTGTTGAATAAATCTGCCAATATTTCCAAGTTATCTTTCCACTAGTTTTAACAGTTCAACTGGTATTTCATCTAATCCAGCTGCCTTATTGTCTTTAGAGTTTTTGATAGCATATTTAATTTCATCTATGGTGATCTTTTGTCTCTTTAAAGGATTTAATTCTTGTATTTTCTGCATTTTACCTCTTTCATCTTGGAAAAGTTCTCTAACGTACTCCTCCCATCGTCTTAAGTTCTCTGGTAAATCTATTAGTAGTACTCCTTCTTTGTCC